ACTACTACTACTACTACTACTACTACTACTACTACTACTACTACTACTACTACTACTACTACTACTACTACTACTACTACTACTACTACTACTACTACTACTACTACTACTACTACTACTACTACTACTACTACTACTACTACTACTACTACTACTACTACTACTACTACTACTACTACTACTACTACTACTACGACGACGACGACGACGACGACGACTACTATTACTAATTCTACTATTCCTAGTGTCTTTCCTCCCGCCACCCTGCCTCTCATGGCAATTTCCAAGCCTCTTAGAGCTTGTCTGGCGGTCTCTTGGGGTCTCGTTTAGCCCTCCTCGGGGCATCTTGGGGATTATTGGGGGCATATTCGGGGCCCATTTGGTTCTCTTCGGGTGCTCTTTGGGCCTCCTGGGGGCCTCTCTTGGGGCTGAAGGTTCAAAATGTCCGTTCGTGTTCCCCATATTGTGCCCGTCGTGGGGCTCTTGTGGGCCGGCGTGGTGCCCTCTTGGCAGCTTCTTGGGACGTATTGGGGCGAACTTGGGGGCCTCCTGGGCCGTCTTGGAGCAGCGGCAGATCGAAACAGTGAGCACATAAAAAGCATCGACCAGTTTTAGGACAGTGGCTGATGTTTGCCTCTTGGGTCCCTCTATGGGGTCCTCTCGGAGCGTTCGTAGGGCCTCTTGGGGGCCACCATGCCGTCTTGGAGTGATGTTGCTCTGTTTCAGGGCCCTCTTTGACGAAGCCGTGGTACAAGTGAGCATGGGGCGTTTGGGAGGGAAGGAAATGAAGGGGGAAGCTTCTCCCAGGCGGGGGGAGGTCCACTTTGTGTGGGAGTGACAACCTCTGGGGCCCACCCACCCCACCCCACTGGCGATTTCCTGGGCGACCCCCCTGGGACCCCCCCGTCCCCGTCGGGGAGGGATTAAAAGGAATGGCTTCCCTGTGAGCCGATCACGACGGTATACCCTCGGCCTCGCGCGTTTGATGAGGAGAGCCCACCGAAAAAGCGGGAACGACGACGACGACGGCGGAAATTTTAAAAGCGTCTCTCACACACGCCGAAAGGGTCGGCGGATTTGAACATTGTACGACCCGAAGTCCAAAATTGCACAACAGTTGCATGGATGAAGGACGGTTCATTTTGAAAGCAGGGTTCTCACATGTTTTCTTTTTCCGGAAATTGCACGCTTTCCACGGATGGAAGTCTTCCTCCTCCCTCCCCTTCTTTCTCTTTCCTTTTCCTCTATTCAATACCTCCCTCCCTCCTCCCCGTTCATCCTCCCACCCTACCCTCCCTCCACCCTCCTCCCCCTACGGTTCTGCGTTTATCCCTCACCCTCCCCCACTCCTTGGTTCTAGGCCTCCCAGATGGGGTCGGAGTAGATGGGGTCGGAGGATCGCGCCGCATCGCCGATGCATCGGCGATGCGGCTCGATGTGGAGCCCGATGTTCTTCACGCCGACGTCGCCGATGCGTCGTCGACGTCGGCGATGCATCGGCGGTGCATCGCCGATGCATCGGCGATGCGGCGCGATCCTCCGACCCCATCTACACCTTAGGCGATGCTTAAGAAAACTTATTTTTTCGGCCAGAGTCTCGATTATTCTTAACGTTTCAATGTAAATCCTAAGATTTTGATCGATTTTTTGCGTTTTTATTCAAGTTCTGAGACCATTAATTTCTTAACCCATGATTTCTTAATCATTTCGCGTGGTCTACTCCGACCCCATCTAGGAGGCCTCCGATTCCCTGTTTGGTATGCCTCGCGGGGCCTCCCTCGAGGTTCTTCAAGGCCATCGCGACGGAGGCATGCCTGGGAAAGGCGCTGCGGGCGAACAGTCAGGCGGCCCGCCGCCCCACGAGCCACCAGCCCACCTCTGCCCTTTCCCTTTCGCCTCCCAGAAGGAGGAGGAGGAGGAGGAGGACGAGGATGATGAGGATGAGGATGAGGATGAGGATGAGGATGAGGATGAGGATGATGATGATGATGATGATGATGATGCTGATGATGATGATGATGATGATGATGATGATGATGATGATGATGATGATGATGATGATGATGATGATGATGATGATGATGATGATGAGGAGGAGGAGAGGGAGGGGAGGAGGAAGGAGGAGGAGGGGGGAGGGAGGAAATGGAGGAGGAAGGAGAGAGGGAAGCCAGGCGCGCTCCTGCCGCAGCCGGCATCCCACCCCATCCCGCCCGTCCTTCCTCGCTGCTTCAAGCCCAGCCCTATTCGCCGAGCGGGGCGTCGGATCGGGCCTCTGACCCCCCCCATCCGTGCCCCATTCACCGCCGCTTCTCCTCCCCCCTCCCTCCTGAGCTCTCCGCCCGCCCCCCCCCCTCCTCCGTCCCCCCATGCCCCCCCCTCCCTCCGTTTTGCCTCCTCTCCCCATGCTGGCGCTTCTCCCACGCCTGCCCCCCCTCTCCTTGCTCCCTCTGCCTCCCTTCTTCCTTCTCCCTCTGCGCCCACGTCCCCCCTCGCCTCCGATTCCATTCACCCTCCCGCTCCCTGTGCTGACCCCCCCGCCCCTGCCCTTCCACCCCGTCCGCTTCCCTTTCCCCAGAGGGGGGGGGAGAAGAGGATTCGGAACACATGCACTATGGAGCAGGGACACTAGCAAGAGGATCGGGAGGACATCCCTGCGTCGGGCTTGACGTTTCCTTTCTGGCTCGCTCGCCGCCTCATTTGGAACGTTTCAGGAACGCGCCGCCTGGTCTTAGAAGAAGGGAAGGGGCCCAGACAAGGCGGGGGGGGAGGGAGGGAGGGCGAGGAAGAGGAAGCCAAGGAAGGGTACGGGGAGGAGGAGGAGGAGGAGGAGGAAGAAGAGGAGGAGGAGAAGGAGGAGGAGGAGGCGCACATCTTGTTGAGCGCGCGAGGGGAGAACGACAAGGGGGACTAGGGGAGGGAGCACAGGAAGGAGCGCGTCAAGGATGAGGAGCCGGATCAGCTATATCAGTGTCAGCCGCACCAAATGTAGCAGTAGGAGGTCCTCATGCGCTGGGACTGCAGGGGAGAGGGCACGACCCTTCCTCCTCCTCCTCCTCCTCCTCCTCTCCTCCGCCTCCTCCGCCTCCTCCTCATCATCCTCATCCTCATCCTTCTCCTCCTCGTCATCCTCATCCTCATCCGCATCCTCATCCCCCCCTCCTCCTCCCCCTCCTCCTCCTCCTCCTCCTCCTCCTCCTCCTCCTCCTCCTCCTCCTCCTCTCACGACGCTCCCCTGCCGCCAGGAGGTTTCCAACACTGTCTGGGCCTTTGCCACGGCTGGCCACAAGGACCACCAGCTGATGCAGGACCGTGGTCGCTGGCCAGGGGGTCGGGCGCGCTGGCAGATCGGTTGTGACGGCATGTCCCGAGGCTCAAAGGCTTTCCAGACGCCCTGCTTGCTAAGCTCCCCCCGTGTACAGTGAGCGGCTTGAATAAGGAACACTTACTTTTCAAAAGGGGCTCGGTCGTTCCTTAGGTTTACATATAGTTCCTTATGCGTTATGTATTAGTTATCGTTCCTTATGCGTTATTCCTTGGGATAAAAAGGGGCTTCGTTCCTTATTTATCGTTCTGTATGTGGCTGTTGGAAACTCTTGCCCAGGGTCCGAGGCTCCGAGGCACAGCGATCCCACACTGGCTTCGCTCGCCGTCGGGCCAACTCCAGACGCCACCGTCGAGACACCGTCGACCATCGAAGATCTATCTGGACAGCATCTCAGAGCCCCGAATCATCAGGGGTAACTCGGGTCAGGGCGAACTCGGGTTCCTTTTTCGGGATTACAAACCCGAGTTACCCCGGACCCGACTTACCCCGGATAACTCGGGCGTCCAGAGCCCCGAATCATCAGGGGTAACTCGGGTCAGGGCTAACTCGGGTTCCTTTTTCGGGAATCCAAACCTGAGTTACCCCGGACCCGACTTACCCCGGATAACTCGGGCGTCCAGAGCCCCGAATCATCAGGGGTAACTCGGGTCAGGGCTAACTCGGGTTCCTTTTTCGGGAATCCAAACCCGAGTTACCCCGGACCCGACTTACCCCGGATAACTCGGGCGTCCAGAGCCCCGAATCATCAGGGGTAACTCGGGTCAGGGCTAACTCGGGTTCGGAATCCAAACCCGAGTTACCCCGGACCCGACTTACCCCGGATAACTCGGGCGTCCAGAGCCCCGAATCATCAGGGGTAACTCGGGTCAGGGCTAACTCGGGTTCCTTTTTCGGGATCCAAACCCGACTTACCCCGGACCCGACTTACCCCGGATAACTCGGGCGTCCAGAGCCCCGAATCATCAGGGGTAACTCGGGTCAGGGCTAACTCGGGTTCCTTTTTCGGGAATCCAAACCCGAGTTACCCCGGACCCGACTTACCCCGGATAACTCGGGCGTCCAGAGCCCCGAATCATCAGGGGTAACTCGGGTCAGGGCTAACTCGGGTTCCTTTTTCGGGAATCCAAACCCGACTTACCCCGGACCCGACTTACCCCGGATAACTCGGGCGTCCAGAGCCCCGAATCATCAGGGGTAACTCGGGTCAGGGCTAACTCGGGTTCCTTTTTCGGGAATCCAAACCCGAGTTACCCCGGACCCGACTTACCCCGGATAACTCGGGCGCCCAAGCATCGGGCATCAGGACACAGTCGGCGCACTCATCGGGATGCCCAGTGGGACACACGCTGCAGAACATCGAACATCAGCTGAGACACCATGGGGACACCGTCGTTCAATCCACTGGGACATCGCTAGGAAACCACCGAACATCAAGCGGGACACCGTACAGACACCGTCGCAATTCAATCGGGACACCACGGAAACACCATCGGGCCACTACGTGGACAGCCGACGGGGCCCTTCCAGCGACGGAGCAGCAGCAGAAGCATGAGGACTCGCCTGCAACTGGCCACTCATGACCTCAGGATCTCGCGCACAGCGTCGCACGCACGACACGCACGGCCGATGCATCGGCGAAGGCAGCTTCAAACACGTTTCTACACATCCAACTTCCAACTACAAGAAGCAGCATGAAGCTCAGCGCGTGCCCAAACGAATCTACAGTGCACCCTTGCCGGCAGAAGACCCCAAGCAAGTTGTTACAGCATTGGGAGCATAATAAAGAAATGTTCTCATTCATTTCCAGGCTTCCTACCCTACACTGAACTATAGTATCTAGTGGCCTTCGGCCTTATATGGGACCTTTGCAGAACGCATGCTTAGGAAACCATTACGAATGGAACAAGTTGTCACGTGTTTCGCCGACAAGTTGTTTGGCGTTGCTTGGGATTGGTTTCTAGCGCAGTGGTTTGCATCAGTTTGTGTTATGTGTCGTGCTTGGTTTTGCTCATTGCTTTGGTCTAAGCTGCTTTGCATTACATGCTAACGCCTTCATTGCACTGCCATTGCGTTGCGCCGTCTTCCACTTGGCAAAAGTCATTGCGCAAAGGGACACTCAGAGCATGGGCAGCATCCTCAAGGAATTTTGCCCAAGGTTCATACTGCCACCTGTCCGCTGACGCATCATAAGCCAGGACTCATGAGGTACAACCTGGTTGGGAGCACGAGGAGGAGGAGGTGGAGGAGGAGGAGGAGGAGGAGGGATGTGAGCAGCATGTGGAGAAGGAGCAGTAGCACGAGGGTGATAATGGACGAGAACGTAAGGCGAGGGTGGCAACTGCGGGAAGGCCCAGTGGCGGCTAAGGCTAGCCTTCGACGGATGGTGAGAATCACCCTTGCTTTTCTGGCCCTTTCCCCTCCCTTTCCTTCCCAGCACGCTCCCCTCCCTGCCTCACCCCATCCGCATTCCTCTTTCCATTCTCCGCCCCCTCCCATTCCCCCTGTTACATCCCCCTGCCCATCCCCTTCGACTCTCCATCCACATCCCACTCCGGTCCTCCGCAACCCCCTTCTTCGCCTCTGATTCCCTCTCCTTCCCGCCCCCATTCCCTTTCTCGCGTCTCCCCTCTTCATCCGCCTCCCCCTCCTGCGTCGAAAAATATTGGAGTCCAGGGCTGCAAACTTCTACTGCGGGAGTTGAGTGTTTCTGACCTCGTTCTCCCTGTCCGCTTCGCCCTTCATCTTCTTCCCAAACCTCCTCACCCTCTCCCCTTCCAAACCCTTCACCTTTGGCCCCGCAATTCTCGCAGCGCTCGCAGTGGAAGCCGCCAGTGATGGGACTGAGACGCCTTGCTGGCCCGCCCAGGGGCCCTATGGGACACGGATCTCGCAGAGGGAGGACGAGGAGGAGGAGGAGGACCAGTGTAAATCCAAGAGTCATCCAGGATGTTGGAATATATCCTCCTTCCAGCAATAGGCCCCTACAACGGTTGATTTCCATTGAGGGACTGCTTCGTTGGAAGACGACCGTTTGAAGACCCTGAAGCATGCCAAAATATTGTTCTCGGGATTCCAACGCCACGGATGAACCTGACTGTTGCGTCTCGACGATCCTGAATCGTGCCAAAACGCCATTCCTGGGATTTCAACACCGCGAATCAACGTAATTGTTGCATCCTCATAATCGTGGATCCTTCTAGAAAACGAATGTGCGCGGCGCTAAGGCGAGAGCCACATTTTTAATAGGAACCGCCCTCAATCCGTGAAACCCTTGCGAAGTTTAAAAACGAATGTACGCGGGGCTAAGGCGAGAGCCACCTTTTGAAAGTCACCCGCCCTCAATCCGTCAAACTCTTGCAAATGTTTGAAACTAATGTGCGCGGCGCTAAGGCGAGAGTCACATTTCAAAAACCACACGCCTTCAACCCGTGAAACTCTTGCACAGTTGTAGAGCGAATGTGCGCGGCGCTAAGGTCAGAGCCACAGTTTGAAAACGACCTGCTCTCAATCCGTGAAGCTCTTGCAAATTATTAAAACGAGTACGCGCGTCCCTACAGCGAGAGCCACATTTTGAAAACCACCCGCCCTCCATCTGTGAAATTGTTGCCAATGTTTGAGCTTCAGGGTCATGAGCGGTGAGGGACTCTCAGGCGAAACGCCCGGCCAGCCCTAAAAATTGGCCTCGGGGTGCGACAGGAAAAAGCTATGTATGTGGAAAAGGGATGGATGATGATGATGAGGAGGTGGAGGAGGAAGAGGAGGAGGGGGAGGAGGAGGGGTAGGGGGAGATGGAGGATGATAAGGATGACGAGGAGGATGGGGAGAAAGATGGGGAGCTGGGACATGAGGAGGAGGAGGAGAAAGAGGAGGAGGAGAAGGAGGAACAGGTTGGCGAGGAGGACGTGGAGGAGGCGGGAGGAAACGAGGAGGAGGAGGAGGAGGAGGAGGCGGGAGGAGGAGGAGGAGGAGGAGGAGGGAGAAGAGGACAGGGGGGCCCAGAATGCCCAGGCCCTCGGGGACGCCGCCGTGCGGGAGTTGCACGCGTTCAAGCCGCAGGAGGAGCACAGGGGGAGGGACGCTCCTGCGAGGAGGAGGAGGAGGAGGAGGAGGAGGAGGGAGGAGGAGGGATGAGAAGGAGGAGGAGGAGGAGGAGGAGGGAGGAGGTGGAGAAGGACCAGTGTAAACCAAAAACCATCAACGATGTTAGAATAATCCCTCCTTCCAGGCTTCCTCTGCACAGGCCCCTACAAGGATCATTTCCATTTGGGGAAGTGCCTCGTTGGGAGAACCGGTTGAAGATCCTGAAGCGTGCCCAAACACCATACTCGCGATTCTAGCGCCACGAATCAATTTGACTGTTGCGTTTTGACGGTCTTGAAACGTGCCAGAACACCGCTCCTGGGACTTCACCACCGCGAATCAATGTAATTGCTACGCCCTGCTAATCCTGACTCCTAACGATACGCCATTTCTGGTACGTTAACTATGGGCACCCGTGGAATGTGTACAATCTGTTTAAGCGAAAGTGCGTGGCGCTAAGGCAAGAGCCAAACTTTGACACGGAACCGCCCTCAATCCGTGAAGCTCCTGCAATTTCTTTGGGCGAAGGTGCGCGGTGCCAAGGCGATAGCCACATTTGAAAACCACCCGCCTTCAACCCGTGAAGTTTTTACAGCGTTTTCAGACGAACGTGCGCGACGGCGAGAGTCACATTTTGAAAACCACCCGCCCTCAATCCGTAAAACTCTCTACACTTGTTCCAACCATACTGTGGTGTTGGGTCCTCGTTTTGAAGAGACAACGCCCCGCGTTCTCCGAGGAGAAAGGAGTATAGCAGGGTGAGGAAGAGGAGCAGGGGAGGAGAAGGAGCAGGAGGAGGAGAAGGAGGGGAAAGATCAAGAAAGGCATCGTCATCTCTGCAACAATTAATGGAGTACGAATAGTTTTCTCGTTCCAACTCTGAAAGCGACGAGTTCGAGCATCCTCCTTCCTCCCGCCTCCTCCTTAGTCCCATTCTTGCTTCTGCTTTCCGCATGTCCACCATTTTGGTACACCCCTCACGCGGTTCGTGGCCCCATGGGGAGCTCCACCTAAAAACCCAGTGGCACAGTTTACGTGCGTCCCCGCCACACATGTGGGCACACCCCTCACACGGCTCGTGGTTACATGGGGAGATCCAGCGATGGCCCCACTGGCGCAGCTTACATGCGTCACCGCCACCAGTTTCGGCACACACCCTTCACATGTTTCGTTGACCCACATGGAGCCCCTCCGATGGCCCCAGCGGTACACCTTATGTGCGCCACCGCCACTCATGTCGGCACACCCCTCACACGGTCGTGGCCCCATAGGGGGCTCCACCGAATGCCCCAGCGGCACTTGCGGAGTCCCAAACCCTGATAGCAAGGCGACAAAAGGGTGTGGAAAGGCTTGGCGAAAAACTGCGGAAGGACTTGGAGAGAGCTTCCAGCCACGCGCATAGGCAAACGCTTAGACAAGGTCTGCGAGGACACGTTACAGTCTCGCACAGGCCGCAGCGGCGCTGGAACACGGAAGCCGCAACGACCTCCGGGGCTGCCCTGCAGCTCCGGCTTCTTACTTTGAAGCCCCCTGAGCTCTTAGAGAGCTACCCGGGCAGTCTTTTAGGGGGCAAGCCCCGGGCCTTCGTCGCGGGACCGCCTGGATCGGCCCAGGGTCTTCGTCCCTGGGACGAGGAGGAGGAGGAGGAGGAGGAGGAGGAGGAGGAGGAGGAGGAGGGAGGAGGAGGAGCCCTCCCCCCGCCCGTTCCCTGGAGCAGTGTCACGACCTGCGCAGGTCGGCCCGCGAGCCCAGTCTCGCGTCCTCGCGCGCCTGCAAGGGCCTTTTTTTCACTCGGTGGCGGACGCTCGACACGAAGCTGGAGAGCATGCCTGGGGAGCTGGCAAGTTTTTTTTGTTCCAGAGACGCTTGCCAGAGACGCTGGAAAGCATGCCCGGGCAGCTTGCAAGCTTCGAAGGAGCTTCGAGGGAGCTGCAAAGGAACTGCGGCAAGGCTTCAGGCACGCGTGCTGGGAACGAGTCGGAAAACGTTTCTCGGGACCCGCTGCAGCCTGAAGCAGGGCGCTGCGAGGATGCCTGACCGGGAGCCGTGGAGAGGAGCTGGCGCAACCGTGCCTTGCGGCTTCTAGCCTGGAGCCTTCTAGCTCTCTGCGGAGCTATTCGGGAACTAGCTCCACCCTGTACCCGAATTCCTCTAGCTCCGGTTCCCTTAGGATCTCTGCGCGGTACGACCTGATCATCTGGTCGGAGCAGAGCAGGAGCAGAGCAGTTTATGCCGGTGCGACGCAGTCCCTAGCGCGTAAAACGCGTCCTGGAGACCCGTGCAAGGATGGTCGACAGCATGCTTGGGGAGCTGGCAAGCTTTGTAGATACGCTTGCCAGGACGCTGGGAAGCATGCCTGGGGAGCTTGCAAGCTTCGAAAAGCGAGTGTCGAAGGAGCTTCGAGGGAGCTGCGAAGGAACTGCGGCAAGGCTTCAGGCACGCGTATTGGGAACGAGTAGGAAAACGCTTCCCAGAACACGCTGCAAGCTCAAGCAGCTCGCTCCAGGGATGCCAGCCCTGGGGCTTCACTTCACCCATGTCGACACACCTCTCGCACGGTTCGTGGCCCCATAGGGAGCTCCACCGAAGGCCCCAGCGGTACAGTTTACATGCGTCCCCGCCACCCACTACGACCAACCCTTCACATTTTTCGTTGTCCCATAGGGTGGCACAGCTTACATGCGTCCCCGCCACCCATTTCGGCACACCCCTCCTGCGGTCCGTGGCCCCATTGGGAGCTCCAGCGAGGGCCCCATGGGTACAGTTTACATGCGTCCCCGCCACCCATTTCGGCACACCCCTCCTGCAGTTCGTGGCCCCATAAAGGAGCTCCACCAAAGGCCCCAGTGGCACAGTTTACACGCGTCCCCGCCACCAGTTTCGGCACACCCCTCACATGTTTCGTTAACCCACAGGTAGCCCCACCGAAGGCCCCAGCGGTTAAAGTTTACATGGTTCCGCCACCCACTACAGTTTACCCCATCAAATTTCTCTTGGCCCCATAGGGAGCTCCACCGAAGGCCCCACTGGCACAGTTTACGTGCGTCCGCGCCACCAGTTTCGGCACACCCTTTCACACGCTTCGTGGACCCACAGGGAGCCCCATTGAAGGCCCCAGCGGTGCAGTTTACATGCGTCCCCGCCACCCACTACAGCCTACCCCATCACACGGTTCGTGGCCCCATAGGAAGCTCCATCGAAGGTTTTAACGGCACAGTTTACATGCGTCCCCGCCACCCATGTGTGCACACCGTTCGCACGCATCGTGGCCCCATGGGGAACCCCACCACAGGCACCACGGGTTGTGGCCACATGCGTCCCCGCCGCCCAATGTCGGCACACCCCTCACACGACCCGTGGCCCCATAGGGAGCTCCACCGAAGGGCCCAAGGGGTGCGTCCACATGCGCCCCAGACATTCGCATTTGCATATGGTTGGGTCCTTCGTCGAGCTAGTTTAAGAAGAGAATGCGCGGCGGTAAGGCGAGAACCACATGTTTAAAACCACCCGCCCTCCATTTGAGAACCTGTTGCCACTATCGAAGTTTCAGG